ATTCAAGCAAATTTTGTACTACAAATGTTTAATTTCGTGTAATGGAGGTACTTGGGAAAAATTAACGAAATTTTGACAAAATGGGGGCTGTTAAAACTTTTACTCTGAAACTCTACCTACTAGGCCCAGGCAAGCTGAAAGTAGCTCTTAACTTCAAAACCGCTGGAGATAAATCTAATAAAAAAGTATAGTAAAAATCTTATAAGAGCATTGGATTCCTCGTGAGATTTTGCATAAGTAACAAGAATCAGTTTTAAACTAGTTTGAAAGCAAATCAGCAAGGAGAATTTTGAAATGACGCACGCGACAATAATTTTTCACTCAAAAAATTGAGTAGACAAATGGTGAATTTGAAGAATGTGACAGGAATCGAACCTGCCCTTTAATTTAGTCGAAGGGACTATAAAAGCGTTCATTGAGATTGGGTCGACTAGGAACAGTAGAAGAAACTTTTTTTATATATCCTCCAAGGACCACACCCACGCTGAAGGGGCTGAAGGCAAGAATCATAGGAAATCCACGAAATTCCAACGGAAATCAGCATTACAGCTGACAGTGTTGATGAAAATTATCCAACGAGTGCTCAAACTGACCCTTGGGCTTAGGGCTATGATATGTGATACGCGCTATATGCTGACCAAGCCCCAAGAAAGCCACAATAAAGAAACTCAAGGCTTTCTTTAGCAGGTGCGTTCTAAAAACGTGAAGAGAATTTTTTTACAAATGAGTAACTTTTGACTGCGAATGAGTCTTTTTACAAACAAAATGACAGATTTTACGCAAAACCTCTGAAAGACATCCCCTAATAAACAAAAAAGGTAAAAAGTGTGAACTGATTGGGGGTAATTTCTTATAATTTTGTCAAAAATGGGGGGAAGGTGGGGGAATCAAATTTCTTAAAAAACGTTTTTAAGTCCGTGGTACATCCGCTAAGTGAGTTCATATTCAATGGAGTCGACGAGACCTTTGCACAGGGCTCAGCACCAGCTAATAATGCAAAAATGATTAAAGCGTGGCTAAAAACCGAATTCCGAACTTTATCTATATTTCGGAATTTCCATTCTCTTTTTCGGATTTGAATCCCCGGACTATAAAGAATACAAACACTTTGAGGCAAAGGTGTGTTCTAAGCATCGTAAAAGTCAGAGGTTTTAAAAAAATCTTTGACCACGGAATTGGGCAATATATACACAAATTCAGTGCGCACTTTAGTCGAGGACTCGAGGTAGCTTCTTCTGCACTGCATTACTATAGGAGGAGGAAATTTCGAAAGCTAAAAATTGTTTTCTACGCAAAAATTAACCTACTTTCCATTAAAATTTAAGCATTTAAGCTTTAACAGAATTTCTCTCACAATGCTATGCTCTGAGGTGTAACACTAGGATTTTGTAGAAATTTTGTAATTTTACAGTTCAAGTCAATTCAAACAACTAATGTAACTAATGTAACTAGCTATATTCTTCAGAGTTGGATATTAAGGTGAAGGGATTTACTCGGGAAGAACATAACCAAATTAGAAAGAAGAAATATGGCTAAATATGGATAATCGATAAAGAGTTAGAGCTTTTCCGAGGTTGAAGGTTTAATTCAAATTCAAATTTCAAAGTTTAATATTAATAACAATTTCTGACTTGTTTGATAAAATAATTTGCTCTAGAAAGTAAAAATAAAAAAATACGAAGAATCCACAATGGGGTTTGAACCCACATTTGAATTTTTGAGTTTCAAATTCTTGTTTTCAGCGTTGGAGTTGGCGCAGTTTTTTTTATTTCTTACAGGGTTCAGAGAAACCGAGGGTTTTGATAAAAAATACCAACCAAGAGGTTTTAATGGGTTTTTTGGGTTTCATTGGGTTTCAAAAGAATTTAGGTAATAAACTCAACAAAATAATCCCCACATGAAAGACAACAGTTGAGAAAATTAATTTGATTTCCGATACGTGTGCTTTCGAAGAAAGAGATTCATTTTCGTATCACGCATAAACACAAAAGCATTGTAAAAAACGAGTTTTCTGACAGAACCGAGATCTGGGGCTTTCCCTGAAACTTTTGTGTTTTTGCAATATTTTTTTTTCGCAAGAGGGAGTAAACAGAAGTTTATGAAATGAAAATATCATGTTCATGATAAATCAACAAATTTATCAAAAATGTTAATACCAAGTTCTTATACGAAGTTCTCAAAAAACGCTCGAAAAGAGTTGTAGGGACAAAAATTAGGAAACTCTTGGCTAAAACCGTTTTCAAAAATATTAATCCGCCCTTGAGCTAAAAGTCGCAGACGAGCATTATTTTTCTAACTTTCAGCTCCTCCCACTCCGTGAGGGGGCCGATGTAGGAATGAGAAATAACCGGATTGTGCAAAAATAAGGTTGCCCCTGCTCCACTCGAAAGCAGCATCTCCTGGTATCGCGCCAGATATTCTCACCATTGAACTACGAAGCCACATATAATTGCACCCGTCTAATCTCACTCAAACTTTCTTCCCCACACCGAATAGAAACTCAAGACTTCCACCATTGAACTCAGAAATTTGTGAGGTGTTAACTGATTCCGGTTTTCAGTATTGTCACTTATGATACCAATTTTCATCACGCAAAAAAATAAGCATGCCTGCATTATTCTTGTATCGGAATATGAGCGCAAGTCGCGAATTTTATCTGTATCCAGCTATAAGTGCTCGGGTCCTTTTCAAATTTTAGTCTGAATTAAGAATTTTAGTATGTTCCTTCAGAAAATTTAGGAGTTTACTCGAGTGTGTACTAAATAATGTCAGAAACTGATCAAAAATCATAAAATTGAAATTTCGTGAGAGTTTAATTTTAAATAAATCAGGTATGTCTATTATGGACAGCGGCCGATCTGCCCGTATGTTTGCAGATTATTTTATCCATGCTAAAATTGCAAAGGTTACACTAACAAGGGATTCTGGATATGTAAATTATGTAGGGTATCGCAAATAGGAATATTTTCCTAATCGGATTTTGATTATTCTGATTTTTTAAATATTGAAACAAACATGTTTCCATTCTGTGAGAAATTGGTATTTAATACCGCGAATTACAAAAAAGCAATGTACGTTGAATGTATGTGTACATAAGCCAAAATTTAAAGAAACCAATTCAATTGGGAATGAGATATTTTAAATCCTTATTTAAATAACATGAGATACACAAGTATCATATACAACATTGGTACCAAACTATTTTCAAGTGCACTATATATACTATATATACTATTAGAACTCGAGGTTTTGCCCGGAAAACAGTTTAGAAATCGCACCTCACGATCATATTTTATCAGCGTCGCCTAAGCGCCCTGGACATCTGTCCGGCCTTCTTACTCGCCTCACGGGCCCAGTAAGAACGCGACGAGTTAACTTATTGTCTATGTGCCCCAAATTGCTTTTGGGATAAGAAGAAATTTTAAAATTGTTTTACAGTTTTTAAATTTGGACCAGTTTGCTTAACATCAAATAGTCCTCGGACCGTTTTACAACATTCTTTATAAGTTTTTCTACTGACTATTCTATCTTTACGAATAAATATAAGAAAATCGTTTATCAATTTTCGCAAATGCCGTTTTTATCTAGTGTATAGCCGGGCGCCTCACGGCGCCCTTGAGGATGTGGCGCCCTAGGGAGTTGCCTAGGCTGCCTGACCCCTAAACGGGCCTTAGTTATGAGCCGTAGTCAGTTATGGGCCGAAGTTATGAGATCGTCCGGAATTTTTGTCCATTGGGAAAGTATGTTCAAATTATGGAAACCTGCCAAGTTATTTCATCACTATGCAAACTGGACACACCCAAAATCAGATACAGTTTCTCGATTAGATTTAAATTCGAACATCATGATGGCATTTTATTTGTGTGGAATCAGCGTATTAGTTTCAATCTTTACACTTATAATGGAAATTACGTGGCGCAAAGTTCGAATCTGTAAGACAGGAGTACCCATCTTGTAACAAGCCATTTTCTGTTTCAAAGTAGTGACGAATTTTTGCTAAATACATTAGGGCCAATAAATTCATACAATCTAAGTACACAAAAACCTGTGTATGTACATGAAACTACCGAAAGTGCTGGGCTAAATAAATCTAAACAGGCTTCATCCGGATTAAATGTCAACTAAACTTATTGTCAGTCCGACAAGTAAATAAAAGTAAATAAAATACACAAGTCTAATTCTTTGAAACGCGAATAATGTGTCATTTGTTATTTATTCAGTTTGGACAATTTTTCTGACAATAAAATATGAAAGAAAAAGTACAAGCTTTATAGCATATTTACATAGGCATTGTGTATGAATACAGAATAATGAATACAGAATACAGAATACAGAATAAATAATACAGAATACAGAATACATACATGAATACAGAAGAAGAAAAAAAAGTTTGTTTTTAACCCATTTCTTTTCACCAATAACAACGCCTGAAATTGTATCGATATATGTACATAGGGTGCATTTATTTATGTGTATGTGCAAACCTACATAGGTATGTACATAGATACGGTGGCAAATAACCATTCATGCAAACTTTTTTAACATAATAAATTCCTAATCTTGAAGAAACCCATAAGTTACATCATATTAAGTCATTATATTGTAAACCAGGACGAACTAATCTACATATTTAGCTTGATTGGGAAGTAGTACAAATAATACATTAATGTGATGATTCAACACCCTCTGAAATGTTTGAAGCTATCTCGTCCCCGTGTAAATATATATTTACGGTCTTATCTACCCTACATTAAGATATCCTGCGTATTGTTCTGGGATTTTGTGGCAAGTTGTTAATCCACAATTCAACACCATCACAATCAACTTGATACCTGAAAGTCAATATTTGAATAATCCATTTATGCATTTTCAATTAAAATCAGCTCAAATCGACCGATATAAATCGGTTTGAACCGCTTTTAAAATCAATTCCACCAATTTCATATCAATTTGGATCATATATTAAATCCCTTCTTGTGAAATGGCCCATTTTCATGTGTACTTAAAGTTTACTGACCCGGCATACATATGTAAACATATACTTTGACGCAATACCATCCATATAAAAGGACAACAACTCGACAAATATTTTCAAACAAAGTTTACGCTGACGAACGTGCTCGTCGAGAAGCCTGCTGTGTAAACTATCTAGAAAATGTGAGTTGATTTGTTACATGGATTTCCTCCGATTTCAATTTAGTTTCAATCGATCACAAATTTAGATAGGATGACATTTGCAAAAACCAATTTGACGAAATCACGATAATTACGTATATAGCTAAAGATAAATAAGTCAACACGAATATCAGAATTTTTTATAATTCGAAGCTTAAAGAAAATTATTTCATCCGTGTGCACTTTCTCCATCGCGAGAAAACTTTCAGGGTAAAAATTCAAATTCTCGTATATAGATTCGTTCATATTCTCGTTTAAACTTCCACTATGAAAAATTCTGAAAGACTTGTTAAAGACGCGTCATGTATCATGGTTTTGTCAAAATCGGAGCGAGACCGCTGGCGTCATCGCGTGGCAAATATGTAAAATCTGAGAGCATACACTGATAGACTTTCATTCCTAGTTGTGCAATACATTCACAATTAAGTATTTATTTACATACATTTGTACTAAATTTCAGAAAACATCTGTTACTACCATGAAGCTGGCAATTTTGACGGGAATCATCCTTCTCGCTATCTCCCCGTCACGTGGTCAAGACGGTCGTCGACCTGTGTATGTCAAAGGATCAAATTCGAAACCATTCCAGCAAGGACGGGCAGATCCCATACAACAAGGAATATGTAAGTGACATAAACACAATAATTGTCGAAGGAAAGACAATTTTCATCACTTTGCACCTTTGTAACTTTTCGAAACTCTATTTTCTTTGAATAATGAATAATTCTTATCTATGCAAAAATTTTCCAATTTCATAAGTAATTTTGGCGTCATTTTAATGTTGTATTTATGTAAAAATTTTCATGCTCAGTTGGACATAAAGCACAACCTGTACAACCGGCCATTCCGATGCCATACGGAATATGTAAGTGATACAAAACAAATTTACATATGTATGTACACTCTTAAAAATGTCATGAAGTCATAGACATGTACGCTCCGTGCTGGTTTTGATTGGGTAATAACTTCCGGATTGTTAATAAGTATGTATGTAGTTTGTTTCATTGCTAAGAAATAAACCCCGGATTATTGTATAGGACGAAGTCATTCATATATTCATTCCGGTCGGTAATGATTTAATACCATTTTGTCTAGAGAGTTTCCATGTGAAAGTGATTTTTTTTACAATTTTCGTGCAATTTCTATTACCGCTAAGGTGTTAACTTTACGATTTTCCCTTGTACAATGTAAAATTTGCAACCTTCTCATTTTGAGCTTACATAATTGAAGATGGGCCCAATTTACATATGTAAAACTAAACTATATATTTGTTATATTCGTCAGTTGGACATCAGGCTTCCCCAGTACAACCAGCCGTCCCCCATTCGGCTGGAATATGTAAGCGTACACATAGAAACTGCTTTAACGACTAAAAAAACCCTGAATTTCTTATAAAACTAACAAGTTGTGTCTAAAAATTGAACATTTTTTCAATCTATACCGAAATTGTGTGGTGCGTTATGTTAAAAAATCAAGCCAACGGTGATTAGTCAGATGACACTTATGTATCTTTCCCTTGGAAGAAATATATTTTCGGCAAAGTTCAATTTTCTCTCGTTTTTCTTACACCGGCGAAAACCAAGTGTGACCTTTGACCCGTACGATTTTTTTCGAAGGGACCATTGCTAATTTTTGGCTTGATTTTTTAAGATAACTTGCCATAAAATTCCAGTATAGCTTGAAAAAGGTTGAATTGTAATTTAAGGTTTTTCTCACCTAAATATTTAAATTCCTTTCTTGCCTATCTACATATGTACAGTTGGACATCAGCCTTATCTAGTACAACCTGCCGTTCCCAGTGCCCAAATGGTGATGAATCCCGATATTTATGTAAACGCAGGACCAAATTGTTTTTGGATGCCGTGCACCAGGTCCAACGGGCGTGGTTCAAGGTGCAGAGGAGGCTACTCTGAACTTCTTCAGGCCACCTGCGGCGGGAACCAAAACGTGTGGAAGAAATTGTGTTGTAAATGAAAATTAGTAAATGACTAAAGTGTGAGAGGTCAGATATAATATTAATAATTGATTTATTGCATCATAGCCAATGGCCTTTACACATCATGTATGTATGGCTACATACCATTGATAATTGTAAAATTGTAAAAATAAATAAAATTATTTATTGGTCACAGCATAAATCAAAATATTTGACGACTTCATTCCAAAAAATAAATAACTTATTTAGTATTTTATCACTATTTAGATGAGATTAAAATTAAGAATTAGTGCATAAATTAAAGATTGTCGTTCATATTTTAAAGAAGTACATGTAATTTAACCGCGGTAGGTTGTTCAACAGGGGGAAGAAAAACTGTTTTAAGGATCATAAATAAATAAAAAAAATGACAAATTTTCAGGGTAATATATATATAAAATATAATGCAGGTTGTTACACAAGCCAGAGATCAACTTTCTTTTTTGCTTATTAGCAATAATCTGGTCAATAACTAATTCTCACAAGTTGCGAGAAATCGAAATTTTAAGGTTGCGACACGCAACTTACGAGTCGCAACCCTAAAATTTCAATTTAGCAAAAACATATTATAATGAATTCCGTCAGTATTTACTACTCCATCAATTTTAATTTATTCCAAAAACTTACATCCATATAATAAATAATTTTTAAAAACAGTCAGATAACAACCATAAAATGCATACGTTATTTAACACTCATTTTAATAGGCATAGGCATTTTTGAAATACACAAATAATTTGTAAACTTGTAATTAAAAAAAGAACATCATGCCGCAAACAAGCCCATCACGGTGCCCACAAAGACTAATTTTGGGCCAACGTAGCCACACACTTCTTTAGTGGCTTCCCACCACGTGGCCGACTCGGACATCCCAATTGCGCATTGTAGAATTAACAGAACCAACAAGAAGGCGACGAGGATTCTCGTTCTGGAAATCATATCCGATTTTGGCGGAAATACTGTTACAATGGATTAGAATATACATAACGGTTAAAAAAATTTATTTCTTCATTCAAAATTCATTCAAACCGGTAACCTTGCATATGTACACTACACGTTAAAATGATAAGTCATCGATTGCATAGACACTCTTATGTAGCAAAATGGTATTGAATCATAACCTACCAGGGCAGTAGCGCAACTATACTTTGGGGGCCCCTAGGCAAATGACCAAAAAAGTTGTGTGTGTTTATGTGTCTTTTTGAATTTAAGATAATTTTTTTACATTCCAAAATTCGAAACGAAATATGCAGATTTTGGCTACAGAAGCTGATTAAACGTTTTAAACTTATGTTTCAAATATTTTTTTGACATAAAATTTGACAAAAATCTGCATGTATGTAGGTATTTGATAACCATTTGATTTTAAACTTCAAACATACACATTACTTTTGAAAAAAATACCATAAAACTTCCGATGAAAATGTTTAAGACCAATTAAATTCGCCGATCAGGGGTTTCTTTAACTAATAATTTTTTTAAATTTGTAAATTATCTACGGTGAGCAGACGTGGGGCCCCTGATGTCTCGGGGCCCCTAGTTCTTGCCTACCTTGCCTATGTATATGCTAATTGTGCCACTGTACCGTGGTGCATATATGACATCACCGGCACGGCAATAACGGAAACACAACCGTATAGCAAGAACATTAAATCATTGGATAAATTAATCTTTTCATGAACGTCTTACTATTAGCGCTATTTAGAATCGTAATACAATATTCGTCAAGTTTGGACCTGAAAAGTGAAAGGTGCCACGACGTAAGTATTTTTGTGTAAAGGTTTACACAAAATTCTGCGTTTATGTATCTTTACCCAACACATATCATGGGTAACTTTGCGGCTCAAAATATCCGAGCTTTTGATTGGCACCGAAGCAAAAGCCTCTGGAACCTTTGCAATACATATTTACGAAGCCTCGTATGCATATAATTATCGCAAACTTCGTAAATTCATTACATTTACGAAGGTGACATGTATGCTTTCAACATAAACAAAAGTTTACTAATACTGAAATTGTAATAAGTGTAGCAATTTTGAAGATATGTGAAATCAATGCAAGAGATGGTCATATCATTTTGACACGTAGTGTATCATCACTCTTATTTATGCTTACGTGGTTATGTTCTTGACAAATTGCGAATTTGACTCCTCATGAAGACAAAAAAAATCACGGTGAGCCCGATGATATCCAAAGCCCAATTGGTTTTATAAACGTTGCAAGAACAAAAGTGTGGATGGACGTTGAAGCAACGATCCGTGTGCAAAAGAATGATAACACGGCGATGAACAAGATTTGCGTAATGTTGGGGATCCAATTAGGAGAAGGATTGCATAAGTGGAGTGCTGACAAATATTTAGGTACATGTTTAGGATGAAAAATCATCAAATCCATTGACTGAAATAATCACATGATGGCCATATATTTACATACATATGTAAATCGGAGACCTCACGTATCATGATGTAAAATCTTATGGAAAACGTCTCTTAAAGTACAATTACAACTACGTCCAAGGTACTAGCCATTTTCTTACGAAATCATGAGCATGGATTACATTCAATTTATTAAACGTTAAACAGCGACCAGAATCATCAATTTATGATTGTGGCCAGGTAAACATTAAATTTCAGGGGCAATACATAAAGTTTGATTCAAATTTTTGTAAATCATGTATATACATATATCGTCGTACTAATTCCGAAACCACATTAGTGCACTCGATGGTTAATTCCGAATCCACATAAGTGCACTCAATGCTTAATTCCGAAATAACGTAAGTGCACTCGATGCTTAATTCCGAAATCACATAAGTGCAAAGAAAAAATTATTGAAAACACATAAGTGCAATTTTAACATTAATTTGTCAATGATTTGTGTGTAAATATGCCCATGATTTTAAATGTGAATACTTACCTGCGCTTACAAGACTCAGGTTTTCACCGAGTACTTGTAATACTGACCGATAGTAAGGTCCTCGGACTGACTGTCAATAAAACCAGCATCATCCACCATTCACGATTCATACCTTACACTCGTACCATTAATTTCAGGTTAGGCTACCTAATGTTTAAGTTTTTCTGTTTTTTGTAATTTTTAAAAAATTTAGTAATAAAATAAAATATTAATTTTCGTTTTCACAAAATCAGAGCCAGAAACAAACCTTTTTTAGGAATATAGCAATGGCGCCCAACGTGGCAGTCGTCGATAAAAAGGTCAGCCCAAAAATTTCCGTTTAAATTTCCTAAATTTTAAAATAAGTTTCCGAAAATCGAGTCTCTCTCCTTTCAATATTATTACGCATCCTATTTTTCTGCCCAAAAAGTCCAGCTCTCAAAAATACCCTTTATCTGCCCAAAGGAAGCCTTTTTCCGAAAGTAGGTCAACATTTTACAACAGCCATAAACTCGCCGGCCAGCGCAACCTTTTCTTTCACAGCCTTCTCAATACACCACCACTCTCGAAAATAACCTCTTTTCTGCATTAAAAAGCCTCGTACTACTCTAAGCACGCTTTCTCGTCTTATATGCACGTACAATGTTGAAGAAGATTCAGGGAAAAGTGGTCATCATGGGCGATGAGCCCCACGTCACAGATGACACTTCAAATCTTCCAGGAAGGCATTTTTTCCATAGTCCCAACCCCTGTGAAGTAAAATATGAAGACAAAGTCCAAAGGAAAGACCAATTAACAAAAAAATGAAGAATTTGGTAACGCATGTCTAGCATTGGTCATGTTTCCGATCCTGTTATTTTGGAGGGCACTATAAACCAGGGGGTTTATCTTAAATGCATTAAAGGGGGCTTGGAATCGTTTATTACCAAAGATCATAAAAAAATAATGTTTTGGCCTGACTTCGCAAGGTCCCATGACGCCAAAAAGGTCACTCAGTTCCGACATCTGAAAAATATTGAACTTGTGCCAAAAAAGGGAAACCCACCAAATTTTCCTGAACTGCGACCAATTGAGAAATTCTGAGCGCTGACGGAGTCCAAATGTTCTAAGCTTTCAGAAACGCCAGACACCTCACGAAAATTTAAGAAAAGATGCAAAAAAATCAGCTTGAAAGTAGGTGCAGTCTATGGGCGGAATTTGACGCGAAATCGGAAGAAGAAACTGCAATCTGTAGGAAACAGCGGAATTGAATCATTAAAATTTGAACTGTATGGCAATCCAAACCCTTTAGTAGTAAACATATGCAACTTTTTTGAAATTGCATTAACTGTGTAAAAAGTTCTGAGCATTTTATTTCGTCAGTCCGATACCATCGTGACCGATCTTTACGTATACTCAATGATAGACTTGCTCCATGATTTTGACGAGAAACTGACGACCGAGACCCAAATTAGATATATCATTCGAGGACTGCGACCATCTTATTTGGAAAAAATAAATCTGTTAAATCCGACAACTATTGATCAAATTTTAACTGCCATCTGGAAAATTTCTGACACTCAATTTTTTCTGGCGCAGCAGGGCGAAGCTACTTTCGCCACTCAAACTGCCTTGGCATCCAACCAATTTCAACAATTTACTGAAATTCTGGCGAAACAAAATGAAGCATTTTTGAACGCATTGAACGCACAGACAGACATGCTCAAGAAAAATGTACCACAAAAGAGGGACAAAAATCCTAATTTTCAATCTCAAAATCAATTCCCTAATTTTTAGCAGTATCAACCACCATATTTTTATCCCCCACCTTAGCAGTACCATCAGCTACCACCTCAGCATCAACAACCGTATCAATTGCAGCCTCACCCGATGCCTCGTCCTCCATTTGCTCCTCATCCAACCAATCCAAATTATGATAAAGTTTGTAACTACTGCAAGAAATTTGGACAGGTTATCGCAGAATGCCGAAAGAGAGCCTGGCGAAATCAATTCCAAAACTCAACACCAGACCAGCAACCGGCGTACAATCAGGGAAACTTCCAAGGGCGGAACCATGTTACATCCCCACAAGGTCCACCGCCGAACAGATCAACACAACCTCCTGCACCTCGTCTCCAACAGTAAATACCTATGCTGTCCACCACAAAACTCCAGTTTCCGGTCTCACGAGAATCAAAGGACTTATAAATAACAAACCAGCCACAATTCTTTTAGATAGCTGTTCATCCATTTCTATCGTTAATGCCAGTTTTGTAACTCAAACAATTCCCTTAGAATATAACGTTAAAGTAATAGGTGTTACAAATGATTCTTTGTATATCAACTCTTCTTCAAAAATCGATATAATACTGCCAGGACTTTCCTCTCCTCTCAACAACAATGTCCATGTTCTTCAAAATTTTAAATATGATTTACTATTAGGGACAGACTTTTTCACATTTTATAAATCTGACCTCAAATTTTCAAATAATACTTTACAA